ATTGTCTAATGCACTCAGTCGAGTTGTCAGGTTGGGCGAATATTGACCTTTCTGGCGGGGCTGCGGTAAACACTGTCCGTGTTGATTATGTTCCACCTCCTCCCTGGTGAAAATCTCAAAGCGTCCTCGGTGAACAGGACCTCGGCATGTTAACTACGATTCCCTTTGAATAAGTAACTCTTTTTCCAAGCTTCAGCCGGTGGTTGAGTGGAAAACGCAGAAAAGGGACAAGAGGAAATTATCACATATACAAACACTAATTTGATTTGCTACACCGATTTTTTTTAACGACAGCTTTAAATGTTCTCATAAAGCATGATCTCTGCTGTAGAGATTTCCTTTGCATGAGACGGTGATCAGAGTGCGGCTCTCGGGCCGTCTTCCACCGTCCCAACGCCGTGGCATCAACACAGGTCGCTGCCCATGTGCCATGCTGCTTGCTGCTTCACACAGTTGTAACTGTTCCCACCTTCAGGGGCCCTTGTGACACGCTGTCCACGTTCATGTACTTCTTTGGTGAAAGTGATCCGGGTAGGCCTGGGCTGCTCGCCTTTCCTTCTATAGAGTCCCCTCCATAGAGTCCCCTATATAGATTCCCCTCCATAGAGTCATCTCCATAGAGTCCCCTCTATAGAGTCTGTGCAGCCGGTTCTCTCCATGAGCCGCTTTATAAACAAATGCAATTGTTTTGTCTAAGCAGAAACGTGTGAACCCAAGCAACCCACCTAACCTAATGTGGGCAGTGCACAGAAATGTCATTGGTACGCAGCTTAGATTTTTACAAATACTTCGCCTTTTTAACGAATTGGTCGATTCCATTGAAAATGCAAAGAATTATGTGAGAAGACACATTGAAGACATCAGCATCTTTCATCAAGCTCTAGCTTAATGAAAGGAGAAAGCTTTGCTTCAGGAGAAGATAGTGGAAGCTAACTTCAGGAGGAGATAGTGGAAACTAACTTCAGGAGGAGATAGTGGAAGCTAACTTCAGGGGAAGATAGCTGACACATGATGAAGAGAGTTGAACAAGGTGGTGCAGCTGACACATGATGAAGAGAGTTGAACAAGGTGGTGCAGCTGACACATGATGAAGAGAGTTGAACAAGGTGGTGCAGCTGACACATGATGAAGAGAGTTGAACAAGGTGGTGCAGCTGACACATGATGAAGAGAGTTGAACAAGGTGGTGCAGCTGACACATGATGAAGAGAGTTGAACAAGGTGGTGCAGCTGACACATGATGAAGAGTGTTGAACAAGGTGGTGCAGCTGACACATGATGAAGAGAGTTGAACAAGGTGGTGCAGCTGACACATGATGAAGAGAGTTGAACAAGGTGGTGCAGCTGACACATGATGAAGAGAGTTGAACAAGGTGGTGCAGCTGACACATGATGAAGAGAGTTGAACAAGGTGGTGCAGCTGACACATGATGAAGAGAGTTGAACAAGGTGGTGCAGCTGACACATGATCAAGAGAGTTGAACAAGGTGGTACAGAGCTTATAATTGGGTCTTTGTCAACTGGCCGAGAGCGTCATTAGCCAACAATAAACCAGTAATTAGCTGTCACGTCAGTTAAGGTGCAGGTCAAGGATGACTGTGACTGCAGCTGAAGCAACTTAAACCAGCACTCAAGGTGTAGGTGAAGGAATGACTGTGATTGCAGAAGCAAAAGCATCTTAACCCAGCACTTAAGGTGCAGGTCAGGGATGACTGTGAATGCAGCTGAAGCAACTTAACCCAGCACTCAAGGTGCAGGTCAAGGGATGACTGTGAATGCAGGTGAAGCAACTTATCCCAGCACTCATGGTGCAGGTTTAAGGATGATTGAATGCCACGGAAGCAATTTAACCCAGCACTCTAGGTACAGGTCAATGGATGACTGTGAATACAGCAGAGGCAACTTAAACCAGCACTCAAGGTGCAGGTCATGGGATGACTGTGAGTGCAGTTAAAGCAAGGTAAACCAGCACTTGAGGAACAGGTCAGAGAATGACTAAGAATAGCAACCAAGATCCCTGCATCTCTCCCTCGTTCATTAATCAACGCGTTCTCCCAATGTGTCGTTATGGTACGTTCTAACAACGAACGTACTTAATGGAACGTGCTATGACAGCCGGCTCCTCACAGAAATCCTCGTTTACTGTGCATCGTTTGGTTAGGTTAGGTTAGGTTAGGTTAGGTTAGGTTAGGTAGGTGGCTTAGGAGCGTATGTTTCTCTGCAAGTTTCAGCCAGCGTATTTTGTATGTTGGGGCAAATCGAGAGAACGGGCTGCATATTGCAAGAAGTAAAATCTGCACCATTTTTTTGTCAAATTGTATTATACAGTTATGTTATCATCTGAGACATGTTCAATCATGACAGTTCAATTCTTTCGAAATTCAAATTCGTTCAAAAGCACCCTGAACAATACCAATAAATGTTCATATTCAACTCTCCATGTTATTCTTCATACTGAAAATGCTAATTCCTTCCTCACTTTAACATTTTTTATAACATTTTCTCCAGTCCTCATTCTCATTTGCATCCAGATTTGTTTCTCATAAAGTTAACAAACTAAACTTTACATTCTTAAACAGATTTTCATTTTGAAAAACATTTCAGAGTTATTCAAAATGCATAACTACAGTGGCCTTTCTTGTGGTGCTCTAGGCACGCGATGGGTCAAAAATTGAGGCTGAATAGGGAATTTGTACCTGTGTGGTTGAATTTGTAGAACTAGGTTCCCCAGGAGAGCGGTGTTAACTACCCATAGTAGTTTATCCCAGCAGTGTTAACTAATCGTAGCAGATCCCAACAATGGGATCATATCTGAGCGTTTATAACAACAAATTTGCAAACTATTTGCTTCCTAACTAGATTTTATTTGTAGTACTAGCTGTACCCGGACATGCGTTGCTGAGCCACAGCAACTCTCCTCTGTCTCTCCATCCTCCCAACCATTCCACCATCCCCGTGTCTTCCCAACCATTTCCCACTCTCCCATCCCCTCATCTTCCCCACCATTCCTCCCTGCCCCGTCCCTTCGTCTTCCCCACCATCCACTACTCCCCGGTCCCTTTGTCCTCCCCAACATCCCCACTCCCTGTCCCCCTCGTCCTTCCCAACATCCCCCACTCCCCTGTCCCCCCTCGTCCTTCCAACATCCCCCACTCCCCTGTCCCCCTCGTCCTTCCCAGCATCCCCCACTCCCCTGTCCCCTCGTCCTTCCCAACATCCCCCACTCCCCTGTCCCCTCGTCCTTCCCAACATCCCCCACTCCCCTGTCCCCTCGTCCTTCCCAACATCCCCCACTCCCCTGTCCCCTCGTCCTTCCCAACATCCCCCACTCCCGTCCCCTCGTCCTCCCACCATTCACAACTCCCTCGTTCGATGAATTCCCAATGATCTGATGATCCCATCAGAAAAATGGGAACATGAAATGATCTGATGTTCCCATCATTGAAAAATAAGAAGAATGGTTAAAAAAACGAATTGAAAAAAATAAAAAATATATAAATATACTATACTCACGAAATGAACAGAATAGTAAATAACACAGATCAATGCCAAAGCAATTTCACACAAATTAATTAAATCAAAATGAAAATAAATCAATATCAATGAAAAATCAATTTATCAATGCAATCGGAAACATTGAAATGGAATTGTAACATATTTAGCATAGTGTGTGATGCTTTTACGTGCAACCGATGGCGCTGTTTTTCTAAAAATAAATATGTTTTTACCTGTCACAGGTGTGGTATCTATATAGTAGATAAATAAGCACACGCGTGTATTCGAATGGAACGTTGTGTCAAAATTTCAAAACAATTGGTAAAGAGGTTTCTAAAATTTCCCTCATATGAAAAACACAGTTTTACAAAAAAGGGATGTTTTTATCTGTCACGGACTTGACATCTATATAGTAGGTATTTAAAAACATGCTCGTATGCGATTGGAACGTTGTGTAAAAAATTTCAAAGCAATCGGTGAAGAACTTTCGGAGATTAGCATTTTCGGACAAACTAAAAATTAAATTTTTATTTATATAGATATCTAACAGTACCTGGCCATGCGTTGCTGTGGCTCAGCAACGCATGTGCATAGTTTCTTTCACTCTATGCCCCTGTTACCTAGCAGTAAAATAGGTACCTGGGTGTTAGTCAGCTGTCACAGGCTGCTTCCTGGGGGTGGAGGTCTGGTCGAGGACCGGGCCGCGGGGACACTAACAAGCCCCGAAATCATCTCAAGATAACCTCAAGAAGATATACTCACAAAATGAACAGTATGGTAAACAACACAGCTCAATTTCAATGCAATTCACACAAAATAATTAAATCAAAATGAAGAAAAATCAAAATCTATGAAAATTCAATTTATCAATGCAATCAGAAAATTTGAAGTGAAATTCTAACATTACATTGAAATTGTAACATATTTAGCATAGCATGTGTGTTGCTCTTACATGCAACAGATGGCGCTGTTTTTCAAGAAAAGCATAGTTTTACCTGTCACAGGTGTGGCATCTATACTTATACTTACGGAATGAACAGTATGGTAAACAACACAGCTCAATTCCAACACAATGTCACACAAAATAATTCAATAAAAAATATAATAAATCAAAACCTATGAAAATAAAATTTATCAATGCAAATGGAAACATTGAAATGGAATTCGTGACATATATGATGGTATAGCGTGTATGTTACTATTATGTGCAACAGATAACGCTGTTATTCAAAAAGATATGTTTTAACCTGTCACAGGGGTGGCATCTATATAGTCGGTATATAAAACGACGCGCCTATTCGAATGCAACGTTGTGTCAAAAGTTTAAAGCAATCGGTGAAGAACTTTTGGAGATTACGGCGTGTGTTGCTCTCACGTCCAACAGATGGCGCTGTTTTTTCCTGTCACAGGTGAGGCATGTATATAGTAGATATATGAAAAGACGCGCCTATTCGAAAGTAACGTTGTGTCAAAATTTCAAAGCAATTGGTAAAGAGGTTTCGAAGATTTCCCTCTCATGAAAAGCACAGTTTTTCAGAAAAAAAAATTTTTTTACTCTCATAGATGTGACATCTATATAGTATGTATATAAAACTTGGCCGGATGCGAATGTAACGTTGTGAGAAAATTTCCAAGCAATCGGTGAAGAACGGAGATTTCGGAGAGTAGCGGTTATGCACAAACAAACATTTCCATTTTTATTTATGTAGACTATCTTTTTTTTTTTTTTTTTTCCTTTTTAGCAGGGATAATCCTGCGCGGGCCCTAAGCCTCTGGCTGGTCCACTGCGCGGGCCCTAAGCCTCTGGCTGGCCCACTGCGCGGGCCCTAAGCCTCTGGCTGGCCCACTAAGTGTTGCTTGTTTCTGTTTTACTTGGGCGGAGTATGAGTATTTATGACTCGTATGGTCGCTTCAGTAAGATTTTGCCATATGTGTTTAACAACTTCTTCTGCTCTGTTGAATCTAAGTTGAAATCTTAATGGGTTTGTAACTGTGCACTGTGTTAGATAATGTTCCAGTGGTCTGTCGGGCATTTCTCCACAGTGCTGACATTTCCTCTCATCTTCCGGAACCTGTAAGCCTATTTCCCATGCACATGGGTATCCAAGCCTGATGCGATGTAAGTGTACTTCTGTTGTTCTACTGCTCCCTTTCATAAACTAAGTGGTTCGTAGTTGGTTGAATTCTTGTACCAACCCGCAGATCCTGATGTTGCAACTGCTGTGTTGTGGTCAAGTAGACTAACTGTACATGCCACGCGTTGCTGTGGTTCAGTCTGGTTCAATGGAAAAGAAAGAAAAGAGAAGGCGCACGTTTCAAATATGTTTAATTTTACATTGCTTGTGGGTATACAATATGTTTTGTTGTTCCATCGTCTGTGGAGATATAGAGATTGTCTGGTTTGCGGACTCTAGAACACGCAACATATAATTGTCCCTATGAGAAGCATTCGGTGCCTAGATATAAACTGCACAATTCTAAAGATTGGCACTGAGCTTTGTTGATGGTGACTGCAAACGCCAATCGAATTGGAAATTACAATATCTTAAATTGAAATGAAATATCTCTTGGAATCATAGGAATGCGAGGAATGAGGACATCGTCACCTTTGAAAGGTCCTGTCAAGATGTAGCTTCTGCGACGTTGCTGACTTTTAAAAAAAAAAAAAAAAAAAAGCCGACGTTTTTACTGCAAAGTGCGTGGTTTTGCAAAGCTTTAGTTGATTGATATTTCTCATCATGATAATTGGCTCGCAGATTTTCAATTGCCGTACGTGTGATGGTATCTCTGGCAGATCGAGTGAATTCAAAAAATTCTGTTGGATAACTAACCGCTTCATCTGCTTTCTCAACAGTGTCGACGGACTTGTAATGAGGAATTACAGGTAATGTTTGCCTGAAATTTCCTGCAAGCAATATTAATGCATTCCCAAATGGTCTGATGTTTCCATGCAAATCTTGCAATGATCGATCAAGAGCCTCGAGCGATTTGTTGTGTGCATTTATCCCAAACGATAAGTTTGCATATCTACAATACTTTTCCCATCCAGATGCTTTGGAAATGTTGCAAGTGGGAGTTTCAATGAATTGAATGTTCAATGGCAATTTCAAAGCCGAAGTTCTTCCACCTGGTAACAATGTTGCAGCTATTCCGGACGATGCAAGTGCTAAGCTTATGCCATTTTGGGATCGAAATGCTGCCAGAATCAATCCAATTAGAAAGGATTTACAGTTTCTCCTGGCGCATCTAAAAAGATTTCTCCAAATCCGTTATTGACAGTTTGAATTATTTGATTGTAAATACTTTTTTGTTCAAGCGTTAGCTTAGCAATATTTGAATGCACATATGACAACAGATCACCCGAGTTGTTCACGACGCAATTCTACATCGAACGAAGCAGCAGCAGATCGATTCGGTGATGGCATTTCTAATTGATTGAGAACTTTGTTCGCGAAGTCTAAGCCCAAATCTTCAATCATTATCAATGCTTCGTTGTAGATTTCTGCTGTGAAATCCATGTTCATATTTCAATTTTCCTTCATATTCGACGGATAATATCTTCAGCCATGTGCGATTTATATTTCTCCCATAACTCTGTTGGAGATGAAGGAGAGCAGGCGGTCAATATGATTGGAAACAATGCATGAATTTTATTTGGATGTGACGTGTTGATCGCGTCATTAAACATCCCAGTGTCGGTCGTTCTCCCAATAAATTCCGAGCTGGACATGCGCTACGGAAAGTGGCATGTGTTACGCCGTTGACAAATCTCAGTGGCTGGAAAGACGTTGGACCGGGCACATTTACCAACAGCATGTGAAGAAAGAAGCATTCATCTTGATTGGGATGCACGGTGTACAGTCTGCCTATCATAGTTTATTTGAATATGCCAGGTTGTCCATCGACTCGGTCTCCTCGTTTGTGTCGTTCAAATGATTTTCTATTGGCATTCCAAGTGTAATACGTAGTCACTTTCCAATACAGCAGTGTTTTCACGAACGCGTCATTTTGACATAACGTGAAGAAAGCAGTTAAGGTTGTAGCCGGTGGATTCATAGGTGTTTGTTGTACATTTGCAGCTGTGAAATAAACGTGTTTTCCATATTCTTGTTTTCAAAACAAAAACAAAAAATACTAACGAAATATTTCAATTCAAACGCAGATCAATCGACACAGCTCAATTTCACCACCAATTGTACTGAAAAATAAGAACAGTTAAAAAACGATATGAAAAACAATGAAAAAAAGAAACAAATAAGCTATACCCACAAAATGAACGGTATGGTAAACAACACAGCTCAATTCCAATGCAACGTCACACAAAATAATTAAATCAAAATGAAAATAAATCAAAATCTATGAAAATTCAATTTATCAATGCAATCGGAAACATTGAAATGGAATCGTAACATATTTTGTATATCGTGTGTTGCTCTTACGTGAAACAGATGGCGCTGTTGTTAAAAAAAATGCATGTTTTTACCTGTCACAGGTGTTTCATCTAAATAGTAGGTATATAAAAATACGCTCGTATTTGAATGGAACGTTGTGTCAAAATTTTAAAGCAATCGGTGAAGAACTTTCGGAAATTACAGCGTGTGTTGCTCCTACGTCCTACAGATGGCGCTGTTTTTAAAAAAGCATGTTATTTTCATATTTTCAGTGTTGTGTCAAAATTTCAAAGCAATCAGTAAAGAGGTTTCGAAGATTTCCCTCACATGAAAAACACCCGAAAAACACAGGTTTAAAAAAAAAAATGTTTCTTCCCGTCACAGATCTGACATCTATATAGTATGTATTTAAAAACCCGGCCGGATGCCTATGGAACATTGTGTGAAAATTTCAAGGCAATCAGTGAAAAACTTTCGGAGATTAGCGATTTTGAACAAACGAACATTTCCATTTTTATTTATATAGATATAAATTTGCTTACTAGAAGTTATTGCCATATTAACTGACAGATACGGTGAATAGTTTTTTGTGAGCACCTGCATTGCCCGCGATTCAAACTTTACGAAATACATTCAGACAAAAAATAATAATTACGAATTACCTCTGACAATACAAGAAACTGGTGCAATCTTTTTTTTCTTCATAATGCCCAATCTACTCAACAGATGGCGTTAATATGCTAATACTGCACCACTGACAACCAACATGTTAGTTTTTGCCAATCATAAATGTCTTGTCTGGTGTGTACGAGTATCGAGGTTACAAGCTGAGTCGGTCAGCCTCACTTAAACCAATTACTCTCTTGTTCTCATTGGTAGTGGAGTTACGGTGTCCTGATTGAACTTGACGTAAGATGGTGAAGGCGAGTGTTTAGAGTATGGTTTATTTTGGTGCGCTCTGTAGTTTTAAGAACTTATTTCAAATGGAAAGAGTTAACATTGTTTTGCTAGTTAGTAATTCGTTGATGCAGGATTTGAAAGTTAGTCACTTAAATTATTTTCAGTAGTTTTACGTAGGTTAACATCTTTTTGTTTTCATATTTGAAATCTCAACAAATTCAATGATTTCCTGAACTTTAGCTACACCAAAGTGGTGGAATTCACTAAGATACCAGCTTGTCAATTATTTTGCTGAATTAATCTATATCCCTTGACAGATGCACTCGATCCGTGTGGTGTCGACACTGTTGATAGTTATGGTCATAGGGATCTTCGCACAGGGAGGGGGAAGGTTCCCAACCCACCAAACTACCCATCATACTATCCATCATACATCTACACACCATTCAACTCATCATACCCCTCATCATACGACCACGAGGCATGACGTGAGAAGCAGAGAAGAGATGGAGGCTCAAGTGTCTCCAGTGTTAACGTGAGTAAACTAGATTTCGGTTCCTCTTAGAGGATCTTACACTCTGAAATTAATATGAACATTTATATTTAATTAACCTTTACAGAAGCCGGAAAGTAGCTTTCAGTGTTGGTAAAGCTACAGAACCCTTCCGTGCTGTGGCTCGCCTCCACTTCAGGGTGAGTAATAAATTACTTCCTGAAAGTCAAGAGTCTTGATGAGCATAGTTACTGTTATTTGACTAATGAAATCGGTTAATTTACTAGCATAACAAACTTGGTTTATAAGCTTAATTTTGCTATTAAGCACTTAACTGACAAACGCTAGTTAGTGTTACCCTGACAGGGTTATTGAGCTTAAGAGTAGTTTTAGGTGACCCAGTAAAGGTCTAAACATTTCTACCACCCCCCCCCCCCTCCAGTGGGTGCAATTGGCTTCAACGTAGTTTTAACTACTTCTGTATACTGCCAATAAAGTATGTGGCATTCGTAGTTTACTTCTGATTCGTAGTTTACTTCTGGTTCTAGAGTTAAGAATTTTGAAAAATTGACAAGTTGCCTATTTTAACGTGTAAATTGTTAAAGATGCACGTAGACTACATTTTGGCTTAATAACCAAAGTTATAAATTACTACTCCACAGGATATCTTTACCAACATTGGAGGAGGATGGGACCCCGCAAGTAGTGAATTCGTGGCGCCTTTCGACGGATTGTATTTCTTCATTTTTCACGCGATCGGGGCAAAAGATTCGGACTTTACGTAAGACTTGCCTGTAATTTGGTTGGTTTGGACTACATTTGATAACTATAGTAGGTGATTATATAATTTAATTTTACCCTGTTCAGACTGGCTTTAACGAAGAATACGACCTTCGAAGTGACTGCTTATGGTACTCTGACAACGTATGAACACGGCACCAATTCGGTCGTGTTGTCGCTGAAGCGGGAGGACAAAGTGTACCTGGAGCTCCAGCAGGGCGCAATCTATGAGAATCCAGGCAACGAAACTTACACAACCTTCACTGGCTTCATTATTTAAGACTTATATTTTGAAAAACTTGAATTAACGGAAGATTTGTCAATGCAAGTGTTGAATTTTCAATAAATAGTTAAGAGGGAACTTTTTTCCTAAACCTTTGATGCTAATCTTAAATGTGAAAAGATGTACAAAATTACCATACTTATGAATAGCTTTTTGGAGTAGCTAAAAGTGCACGAATGAAACTTATTTGGGACATGCATTCATAACGGCCACCTGATTTCATTTGGAACTTCAGGGTGCAAAGGCGCCCAGAACCGTAGCACGGGAAGATCATTCATCTTTTAATAGGCTTAAACTCTTTAATTCACCTAATCTAACTAACATTAGTTTACTTTCAAATGTCTAGTGAATCTTAACTTCTGGGGAGGGGGGGGGGGACTTTCGGCATGTTTTGATCCTTGTTTGAGAATATTTAGATATACGAAACTGCTTATTTTAGAGGCCTAGTAAGGGCAGGCATCAGAGGCTAAACTTGACTATCCTAGGGCAAGTCTTTAGAAGGTTTTGATTACATTCGTGGGGCTGATAAAGAAGCTGCAGTCCCTGGCTAGCGGAACAGACTTGCTCCAGTGCGGCGAAGGGCCAGTATTTCTTCACCACCAGTAACTAGTTTGATTTCAAACCAATGGTCACATTTTAATTTGACTTGTATAGATTTGAAAAAGATGCGTCGGTAAATAGTTTATTAAAAGCACCACATGTATTTGCCAGAATCTTAAGAAATACGTCATAGTTAGCAAATGTGCCCTAACATTTGCAAAGACAATGTTCATAAAGAACAATCTGTTCACTCGTCAAAATATGCCAATGTAGTTTTGATCCTAATATTTTGATATATATTTTTGTTCTGAATTTTTTTAAAAGTCGTGCCTATTGCTGATTTTAGGAGAAATGACTACCAAAGGATTACTAACCCCCCCCCCCACCTCCGGTGATTCTCACGTGGTGCCAGGGTTCATGTTCGTTGCCCTCGGGTTGGTGATGGTGGCTCCTGTTCCCCGAACCTGCCCTCCCCATCCAGCCCATTGACGCAGTGAGGGGGCTAGGTGGTCGGCTGCTGGTGTGATGCTCCATGACAGTCCTTTATCCTTTTGTGACCCTATTCTCCTCCTGCTATCTCCTACAATTGTGCAGGATCGCTTTTCCTTTTCCTTGTTTCGTTTTTCTCCCCTCTTCTCCTATCTGCTTGTCGTTTCCTGCCCCCTCCCCGCTCAGCTCGTTGTCGCCGTGTGGGGGCTTAGTGGGCGGCTGCCGGAGTGTGATGCTCCTTGGGACGGTCCTCTGTCCTTTTCTAGCCTTGTGCTCCTGCTGCCGTCCTCTCCAATTCTGCTGGGCATCTTTTCCTTTTCCTTCTGTTTCGTTTTTCTCCCCCCCCTTCTCCTATCTGCTTGCCGTTTCCTACCGACCTTTTGCTCGTTCTGGTTCTTCCCTTGGACTTCTTCTATTTTGACGCACGGGTGCTTGAGGAGGCATACTCATGCACCCGTAGAACTGCAGTACCCGACGTCGAGAGCGAGGGGAACCTTTTATTGTCAATCCCCACTTCGTCACTGAACCCGATCTCGACGGACTGTCGGTTTCTTAAGGTGGCGTTTGTGGGGCGTATACTCGCGACGCACCCCTAGGAGGCCCCGACAAGATCGGCGATAGCTTCTTGTTGGGTGTCCTGCCTCTAATTGTGGCTCCATGGTGGGTGTGGGGGCACATTCGTGAGTGAATTCTTTCTTTCGTCAAGATGATTACCCCTGCTTCGGCTTCTTCTGGTTTACCTTCTCAGGCTCGTGGGGTGGGCGACCAAGCCCCCGAGTCGGTCCGTATTGGAAGACCGGGCTCTGTAGCCTCCGCTGCATTGGGCCCCGACCTTGCTCCTCCTTTGGCCTCTCTGACTCCTTCCTCTGGCTCCCCTCCCTCTGTGGTTGGGTCGAGCCCCAAGCCCCCAGTGGTGACTACCTCGTCCCCTGGCGTGGCTCCTTCTCTAGTTGTAACTACTGCGCCTTTTAACCCCTCTCTCTCTGGGGGTTCTCACCGCAGTCTTCGTCACGGCCGCCCTCGCTCGATTCCTTCCAGTTCTGCTACCTATCAAGCCTTGTTTGGTCCCGCTTCGTGGGCCAAATATTTTGATCTCCTCCCTCTTGATTCTGCGCCTCCTGACGATTTCTCCCTCCATCGGCATCTCATTGATTCCGTGGATGCCTCCATTACTTTCAACCCCACTCGTCTCGGTACACGTGTCGTTGCTGCTCCTTCTCAGGATGCTGCTTCCCGCTTGGCTGCCTTATCCTGCCTTGGCGAGACCCCCGTTCGGGTCTCGAAGAACGTTCAGTTGAATGCCAGTGTTGGCACTATTTTGCTCCCGCCCCATGTTGCGACCGGTGTTCGGGACCTACGCGACTGCCACGACGATATTCGACATATCCTCGCTGCCCAGGGCCATTCTATTCTCCAGGTGGACACGTTTACTCGTCCCCCTCGTGGTAGTCGCCGTCAACCCCTCCGGGTTGTGAAGATTACCTTTGATGGTAGGACCCTTCCACCCTCTGTCATTCTTGCTGGTGCCAGGTGCTCTGTCCAGGAGTACATTCCTCTCCTCGGCTCTGCAACAAGTGCTGGAGGTTTGGGCATGGTGCCCTCCGCTGCTCCGGGACTGTCTCTCTCTGTCCTTTGTGTGGTGGCGAAGGTCACTCTAAGTCGGAGTGCGCTTCTCCCCAGGCTCGTTGCCTCAACTGCGGTGAGGCCCATCCTACCTTCTCCCGTGCGTGTGTCCATTACAAGCTTGAGGCAGCCGTCCTCAACTTGAAGCACCGGGAGCGTTTATCTTTTCCTGAGGCGAGGCGCCAGGTTCGCCGGCTCCCGCCTTATGCTAATATCTCTTATGCTCGCGTGTTGCGCTCTTCCTCTCCTCGTCCTTCCCGCCTTCCTCAGACTCACAACCGTTTCCAGGCCTTGGACCCTGATGCGCCCACTGCCCCCTCCTCTGTCCCTTTGGGTTCTCTCCCGAAGGATCCTCCTCCTGGTCCTCTGTCTGGGGTTCCCTTCTTTCTACCCAGTCTGTCGTGTCTTCTGTGTCTTCTTCCTCGTCCCCCTCCGATCCTCCTTCCCATCCTCTTCCTCCATCTATCGGCTCTCCCCGCCGCCTGTCGGTGCGGGCGGATGTCCATCGCTCTCCTAACGGCCGTCGTGTGTGCTCTCGTTCGGCTTCTCCTGTTGAGACACTGGAATCCGTTGCCCGGTACGTAGTTGCTGGGACACCGGTCTCTTTAAGTCAGAAGCGTAAGCCTGGCTCCTCTCCTTCCTCTTCCCCGGCGGGTAAGAAGGCTTCGCTTTCTTCCTCAGCTCCTCCTTCTGGCTCTGTTGCTCCTTCCCCTCCCGTTTCAGTGCTTGCGCCCCCTGTTCCTGCTATGGAGGTTTCTTTGGCCCCTGCTTCCCTTTCGGTTGCTGCTCTTGCTGGGGTGCGCTCCTCTTTCTACTCCCCCTCTTCCTGCTGCTGTCCTTGACTGCTCCTCTCCGTTGTCTCCTCCTCCTCCTCCTCCTCCGGACCCTGCCCGCCCACCTCTGATCTGTTCTCCCGTTTCCTTCCCTCCGTCTTTGCTCAGTTTACCCATGCCCCCTAACCCTGACTTTGCTGACCCTGATCCCGACCCTGATATTCTTTAACGTGCTCTGTTGCTCTTTCACCTTTGTTTCTTCCTTGTTCTCTGTTTTTGTCCCTTCTCTTCTCGTCGTTGTCCATTCTTCAATGGAACGTTCGAGGTTATTACGCCAATTTCCTCGAACTCCAACTTCTGATTTCGCGGTTTTCGCCCCTTTGTGTCTGTCTCCAGGAGCCAATGCTTGGTGCTCGTCCTGGTCGTTTTCGTGGCTATTCCTTTCTCTTCCCCCCCCCCCCAGCCATTGCTGGGGCTTCTAATTCTTCTGCTCTCTTGATTCGGGCTGATGTTCCCTTTGTTCCTTTTCTTTTTCCTTCGCCCCTCCATTGTTCTGCTGCTCGTATCTTTGTGGGGAAATGGTACACAGTTTGTTCAATTTATCTCCCCCCGAGTGTCCCGCTCTCTTCCTGATTTGAAACATTCCTAGACTCCTTGCCGGAGCCTGTGCTCCTGCTGGGTGACTTCAATTGTCGTCATTCTCTTTGGGGTGACGTTCTGACGAATACCCGGGGTCGCCTCCTTGAGCCGTTTCTCCTCTCTTCTTCCCTGTCTCTTCTGAATTCTGGTGAGCCCACTCATTTGGACTCTCGGACTCGCACCCTTTCTTGTCTTGATCTTTCTCTCTGCTCTTCTTCTCTTTACTTAGATTTCACGTGGCAGGTTCTTGATGACCTCCATGGAAGTGATCATTTCCCCATCCTTGTTTCCTTTTTCTCTTTTCACCCTTCCCTCTCTTTCCCTAGGTGTCAGTTTGCTACGGCGGACTGGACCCTATTTACCCTCAGTGCTGCTCTCTCTGACCTCTCCCTCCTGCCTCTCTCTCGCGCTCTCCTCCTTTTTCATGACAGTGTCTTCAACGCTGCCCTCCCCTCAATTCCTCGCTCTTCCTCTCGGGGTCCACGGAAGTGCGTTCCCTGGTGGAATGCGGACTGTGCTCGGGCTGTCCGCTGTAAGCGTGCAGCCTGGAAGAGGCATCGCCGTAGGCAGACGACCGATTCTTTTCTTTTCTTTCGGAAAGCGAGTGCGGTGGCCCGTAGGGCCATCCGTACGGCTAAACGTGAATGTTGGGCATCTTATGTCTCAACAATTACGTCCGAAACCCCTCTGGCCCAGATCTGCAAGCGTATCCGCAAGATAGCGGGTAAGTTCGTTCCCGATGTTTCACCGGTCCTTCACCTCCATGATACTCTTGTGGCGGACCCGTTGCAGGTCGCTTCCGAACTGGGTTCCCACTTTTCTTCTGTTAGCTCTGGTCTTCATCTTCCCCAATCTTTCCTTCTTCGTAAACATGTCCTTGAGTCTCGTCCTTTAGATTTCTGCACTCATCTTCAGCTTCCCTATAATGATCCCTTCTCTCTCTCTGAACTTCGTTCTGCCCTGGCCCTCTGCGGTTCTACGGCGGCAGGCTCCGATGGTATTCATTATGAGATG